AGGAAGTCAAGAGAGGTGATCCTGCCCCTCTACTCTGCTCTGGTGATTCGCCACCTAGAGTACTATGTCCAGCTCTGGAGTTCTCAGTAGGAAAGAGATGGACCTGTTGGTCCACAGGAGGGCCACAAAAATGGTCAGAGCACCTCCCCTATGAGGAAAGGCTGAGAGAATTGGGGTTGCTCAGCCTGGAGAAGAGAAGACTTAAGGGAGACCTTATTGCGGCCTTTCAGTTCTTAAAAGGGGCCTATAAGAAAGATGGGGAGAGACTTGTTAGCAGGGCCTGTTGTGAGATGACGAGGGGTAATGGTTTTAAACTAAAAGAGGAGAGATTCAGGCTGGATGTGAGGAAGAAATTCTTCGCAATGAGGGTGGTAAAACACTGGCACAGGTTGCCCAGAGAGATAGTGGATGCACTATCCCTGAAGGCATTCAAGGCCAGGCTGGATGTGGTTCTGGGCAGTTTGATCTTGGGCAGTTGAAGATGTCCCTGCTTATTGCAGGTGGTTGGACTAGATGACCTTTGAAGGTCCCTTCCAATCCAAACCATTCTATGATTTTATGACAGGAAGAGGTGGTATATGCTATATGATGTCAATGAGCATATTTAGAATGGTCTCCATGATTAATTACAGTATCATGTAGTAAATATATTCTAATCTTGCCTGACAATTTTTGTTTTCTTTTTTTGCATCATATTAGCCACTCTTCAAGATCTCTATAAAACTTCAGTCTGTTCTGTTGCTTAGCAGAGCCTGCCAGGTAGCCCTTAAAATCTGGAATGTCACTTCTGCAAAGTATCAAACATATATTTTCACATGTGTGAAAGAGGAAACTCTTCATGCAGGTGTCTGCTGTCTACAAGAGGGCTTCCAATCTAAATATCCCTGTGTTATATAGTAGCTTCAGTAAGCTGGTAGAAATTACATGGGGTATTTTTCCTTTTTGTCCATAATATGAATCTTGAAAACATGCATCATGTTTGTTCTTAAACCTTGGAACTAGTAGTACATGTTTAAAACTGTCTTTAACTGGGATGTTGTCCCGGAGCTTTTATATTTAAGAGTAAAAAAAGAAAAAAAAAAACACCTCAACATTTTAAACTTTGGAACTTTGAATTATGTCCCATAAAACTGAGACCAAAGCATATACATTTATAGCCTACCAATAAATTCTTTAAAATAGGAGTTTATAATGGAATCGCTAACACAAATACAATTTTGAGAGCAGCACGTTTTCCCCCATTTATTTGTTTTCTGAATATAAATACATCAGAAACTTGAAAGAAAGCAAAACACCTTGCAAGTTTATTAAAGTTGAAAATACATGTGTTTGGATTCACTGTACCTATAGAAAGAAATGGAACGTACAAGCAGTCAGTCAATTCTAAGTTCAATAACAGCATTGCTAAAGAAAAGACTACTGCCTCAGCTCTGGAATGTGAGAAACTATTTTTGGTTTGTTTTAGACCCTTATTGTTACAAATTAATCAACTGCTCTTTAAAGTCTAGAACTCATTAACTTTGTAAGTTTTACTGTTCCCATGACTGAACTGAACTTAAAATATTCAAGTTTACTTTAGTTACTCACCTTGATCCCATGTCCGTCTGTGTTCCACACGTATCCTCTTCTCTCTTGTAGACAGATGGCAAGATGCAGTTATTTGAGATTTATAATATTATAGAAGGTTTGCATGTGGTATAAGTTTACAGTTCAGCTCTTACTATAAATCAGTAATTTCAGCCAAACTTACACATTTTGTGTGTAGAAAGAAAATCTGATTATCTTTTTTTAACCCTGTGGACACTGTGGATTATAGTACTCGCCATGTTGGATACCTTATTTAAATTTTAGTTCAGTCTGACTCCTTAAATGCCTCATAGTACCAGAAAACTGCAGAGGATATATTTTAAAATGGGGTAAGTTGTTTACTTTTAGAACAATTCTGACAATTCAAATAAAGGGTGGTGATAAACTGCATATCTGGAATGTTGCAGACAGGACTCCAAGATGATTCTGTGGCTAGTGTTATGCAGGAAACAGAATTCAATTACCAGAATAGCCCTTTGGCCTCATAAATCGCGGCTATCAAGTTGATGCAGGTCTAGGAGTGTCATTTCTCACTGGCAAAGCAAGTTACTGTTTCCTGTATGACCCTGCACCACATACAGGTTGAATTGTAGGTTTCTTACACTCTCAAAATGATGCAGCAGTCTCTAATGCCCAAAAGGAGACATTACTGGGAAAGTCCATCACAGACCTACAGAGCAGGGGGATGTGACATGACTACCAAATTCATAATTCAGAACCCATAGCTAAAATTCCTAGTTATCTCCTGGTATACTCCAAGTTACACTTAATGGTATAGGTGCTTGTAAACATATTATTGGTACATGGCCTGCAATAGTCCTGATTCAACAGAAGAAAAAGGGAAAGTGAAAAATGCAGAGTCTTGCTTTGTGGTTTAACTCTAAAGTTTGTATTAAGTTTCTGGACTTCAGAATGAAGATTAATGATTGATATGTAATTTGATCTGTTTCCTCACCCACGGAAGTAAAAAGAGTATTCAGACAGTGTACTAAAATAAAGTATATTACATATTGTGTGGAATAGTTGAAGCTGTAGGCTTTACAGAACAGATTGAGATTCACAATGAAGAAGAATACTAAAATGAAAAAATATTGAGCGAACAGCAGGGCCCATTTGAGGTGATTACAAAGGATGTTTCTTTATTCTGTCTTTTCTTGTGCAACCTGAAAACAGTAGCAGGGGGTTACAAGCAGAGTTCATCACAGCGTTGTCAATCACTGTCATTTAACATTTTGCAATGGAAGATGTCTTTATTCAAGGACAGCTGGGCAAATCAGAGAAACAGATTTGCAGTTAGTAGTCAGTCCAGCCTACACTAAGCAAACAAGGACAGGGCAGACATACTGGCCTCTCACATAAAAATATAATGGACTCTGCTGACCTCAGTGCCCTCCATTCAGCTTCATTCTCAGTTGTATAAAAGCTTCACTACCCATTCTCAATTTCCTTTAATTACCTACATGATGCAGATAAGAAAATGAACCTCACTTACTTACAGTCAATGATCACAAACAGGAAATTAAGTAGGCAAGTTGTTTAAAATAAGAGGAGTGTTTTGGAGGTAAATAAAACATGTGCTGGGGAAGAATTAGGGAAAATGCATTTTCAGGAGTACCAGTTGGTCTGGAGTGACTTGGCTGATCCTTCTTCTTTCTGCCACTTTAAACTGCAAAGCAAAACTAAGTAAAAAATCTCCTTGGTAAATATTCTTTAAAATATCTGTGAAGAAGCCAGTTAAATAAAAAGAGTGAAGCAAACATGCAGCCTTCTATAGGGCTTAAAAAGATTGTGACCTTAGGTTCAGAGAATAAATGACCACAGTTTTCACAAGAGATCTAGCAGAGACATCCAGGATTAAGCAGCAGTTGTCTTTAGTCAATCTTCACTTCTAATCTGCAGTCGAGATATAAAATAAATTAATTACATTCTGATTTTCTTTCCAAATCTTAAGTTGTCTAATACTTACTTTTCCTTTTACATTTATATCACGGTTTAGGTGTAGTTTCACTGTGCCATTAAAGAAAATAGAAAATCTTGTGCTGTCAGTTTTCAAAGGGGTGAAAAACAGCTAGATAACTGGTTTTTAGGAACTGTCAAAAAAGGTTCTATGTGTTAGGCTATTAATGAGTGGATACGGTACTTTGCAAGTCAATTAGGTAGTTCTATTAGGTGTTCTAAAATTGCCATTTTCATTACCTCACTCTACATTGGTTCCTGTTGTGAATATTTCATTAATATGGATTTGCAGGAAGTCTGACTGGAGATTGAAGACTAAAATGTGTAATATCGAATTTATACTTTAAGAGGAATGTAACACCCTGAACACTTTAATTTAATGGTCTCTGCTAATCCCATAGTTCGAAAGACATTGCCCTTTGGGCTACCTAAATGACTTTTTACTTTATGACAAAAGAAATACACTCTCTTAAATTACAGATGGAAAAGATATAACATATTGTAAAACTCTTACTTTACTTGCAAGTTTTTTAGTTTAGAAAGATCATTCTCATTCCAAACAACATGTAGACATACATGCACAAGAGAGTTTTGTGGAGGAAAAAATTACCAATTAAGTCACAGAACTGACTCTTCAGCCTAAATTATAGTTCTTAGGATGCTACTGTTGAATTTTCTTTCTTTCAGAGTCAGTGGATTTCCCTAGCAGGAGAAAGAACATCTCTGCTCTGACTACTAGAACTGTTCCTCACAGCCTCAAGGATGTTGCTACTCATAACTACATTTAAATTATCTGTTGGTGTACAGCTCCTTTTTGCAATAGTGAGAAAGTTCTTAGACAGCTTTTATTTTGACATGAATGGTAGTAGTCCCACTTTGGAGCACAGAGGATAGTTTTCAGCACCTACTTACAATTTTGCTCTTTGCTTTGATCGTTGATCATCTGTTGCTTAGACAGTGACTGCTCAAAATATTGAAAATACATTTTAAAAGAACCTTACCAGAGCTATTTCAAGCCCACTGTGTTTTGAATACAGACAGAAAAGTAGAAACCCTGAAAACTGAAGAATGTGGATTATTGACGTCTTTATAGCTAACCTTACAATGGCTTTGTGAGCCAACCAGGGTAGTTTATCTGTAGACAGGCATCTCAAATACTGAGTCCATCCATTGACTATATTTCACAGCTTTTATTTTCTTCTTTGCTCATCAGCTATGTGAAAAAAAAAATAAAACCTATAATTGTGTGAATATTTATGAATATTTTACTAGCTATTGTTTTCCCACACATGTGATTTTAATAAATAAGTACGCTTTCTAAACACTAAAATACTGCTATTTTAACATTGAAGTCAAACTGTAGTAAATTAAATGCATATAATTTTAATGTCTCAGTAAGGAATAATGATTATCTGAAGTTAATTAAAGTGGCTAATTTTTTTTATTTCTTTTTTAAGAATGCTGAGGAGTACACAGATTTGCCAGTGAGACACAATGAAGATCAGATGAACAGTGAACTGGCACAATATCTTCCGATTGAAGTCAACCCCCATTCATTTGACAGTTCACACACAAAAACACACCTCCTGCTGCAAGCCCACTTCAGTCATGCCATGCTGCCTTGCCCAGATTATGCAACTGATACGAAGACGGTGCTGGACCAAGCAATTAGAATATGTCAGGTGTAGTAATGCATTTCAATATTTAACTCTTGTTGGTTTACTATTTATTGTTAGTGTGTTGTAATATTTTGAATATAGCAAATCTGAAGATTTCTTGCAGTCTTGTGGAGAACTGGTACCACACAGTATGATACCTCTTTGTTTAGTGAGGAACTAGATGCCTATAAAGATGCACACTTTACAGAACTGCAGGTAAATGAAGTTATGGTAAGATTGTGGTACTCTGGTTGGAGGCATCTATTGCCATAGGGCTTGCCTCTTCTTTCATATGCCAAAGCTTTCTCTCTCTTTATAATGGAATGTTGTATGTTAGTCATGCCTGTCTGGGTGCACTCCCTGCAGATTGTTATGCTGACCACCAAGAACTTGTCTCCTATGAATACTTTTATTTTTATAACACCCAAAAGCACTGTGGTTACAGCCACGCATAAATAAAATGTTTTGAAATGTGATCTGGGACAACACACAGGATTTTTCTCTAGCTTGTGAAATGATATGTCTTCTATTTCCCAACTACCACAGAGTCAAAGTGCACGCTTTTAAATCCAGATTTTAAACTTGGTCTGGAGGCTTGTGACTTTTACAGTTGTACTGCAGTCACAACCCACAGAAACTAAACTGACCATGGAGAGTACTGGTAACAAGCAATCACATGCACAGCTGCGTGCCTCAAAATAATTTCAAAGCAGCAGTTGGAGTTTGGAATAGAGTGCTGCCATATATGAAAAGCACAGTTACAGTTACAGTAGGAAGGGTGAGCTCTAGCTGATGCAGGGAACAGCTACCCCTCTGATTCCACCGGGAAGGAATAATATACTCTTTAGCAGAACAGAACAAGGACTCATTCACAGGTTCTAGAAGATCAGGTAACCTTCAACAAACTATTGGTTTTATCTTCCTTGGTTCAATACCTGTAAAATAGGGACAGTAATTCTTTCTGCCTACAGTTCTTGTTTGCTCAAATATTAGTATCCTCAGTGGTCTACACGTCAACTATCAGAATAAGGCTTTGATCTTGTTTGAAGCCTGTTTGCAATATGGTAACTGTAAACATTGTTGTGTCAAGCCTACCAGTTTGTAAAGCCACTCTAAAAGAAACTGTTAGTGCCCTAAACAAACAAAATACCACAGGCAGTTCAGTGTCCAGTGATTTGGGTGAGTCTCAACCTTCCAGTAGCAAAAATGGCAAGCTTGTAATACGAATATCGAACGAAGCAAAGCTAAAATTAAGAAAAGGAAAGTAAGAAGCAAATAAGACCACAGATATTATTGCTACACAGTCTTAAACTTGGCAACTAGCAGTGCTTGAGTGCAAATCTACTCTAAGTGTTTCAAATCACTAAAATCATGGTGCTGAAAGCTTCAATGTATAAACAGTTATTATTCATAATACTAGGTTATTAACAGAGAACAACATCACTTGCTCAGGTTACTAAATTCACCTTTGTTTCAAAGAAATCGCATATTTAAAGTTAATTTAAACATTTGTGGAATTAGAGTTTGGGGGGGTAATTATGTATTTGGAAAAAGATGTAAATTAAAGATTCTTTTCAGTAATATTTTGCTCTATATTCATCCTGCTTTGCTAAGAAATGTATTTTTAACCCTGTTACAGAAGAAACAGTTCCTTTAAACTGAAGCGGAGTTCAGAAGAATTCCATATTGTGCCTTGGCACTGTGGCCTTTGGTTAACTACTACATAATGTTACATGTATAATCATCTTAAAAAATAAAAAGAAAAAAAAAAGTTCCTCTTTGAAAAAGAGAAAAACCATGCAAATATTTTTGTATTTTGAAGTTGGTGCATGGTTTACATCTCTTGGGAGAATATTTGTTCCATCTTATTAGTCACGCTTTCCAAACAGAGGTTAAAGTTCCCAGAATCTAAGCAGTAGACAGGGTTACACTTTCAATACTGGTTGTTACCTTTTTCCTTAGCACTGACCTGCTGATGAACTCTGGGTCAACAGAGGTGGAAAAAAAGATGTTAGTTGTGAGAAAAGGAACTGAACCATGGAAGGATCCATTGATAAAATATATTTGGTGGGTGATGTTCTCTGCGTGTGAACACGTGCTCATGCACCACCAAACATAAAATTCAGCAATGAAATGGGAATTGGTTTTTGAGTTATGTTGAACTTCTGTTTATTTACTTACAAAGTACTTTAGCTCTTAAGGTTGTAGAGCTAACCTTCAAACTGTGACCTGAGCATAAACTGTTATTTTTGCTGGTGGACATATGAATGATGGACTTTCGGTATTAGCACTGCTTTTCTGGTACAAGAAAGCAAGATCTTTCAAAGAGCTTTTACAAATGGTTGTATCTTGGTATGTACAGCAGGCCTCCATCGCAGGCCCCCTGCAAAGCAAATTTGCCATCTGTAGTAGTGATACATAAGCAAGCCTTTTTCCATCACAGGTTATTAAACTTACCCACTCTTCTGTGCTTTTTCACCTGAATCAGCCTTCTCTCCAATGGTTCCTTTTGCATCCCACCCACTGTGTTCTCCTTCCCATTCCTCCATCTTCTGGGCCTTTCTCAGTGGCTTTAGGCTGAGTAGTGTTAATGGCCAGACAGGAAACTATGTTAACATCATCAGACAGGTAAATGTAGCTGACAGGTTTCAGGTAAGATTCCACTCTCTTCTAATAAAAAAAAAAATTATGCAACCACTCTTAAATTTATTTTCCTGAGATGTCTTAGAAGTTTTGGGGTTACGTTAGAATTCTGTTCATTTATACTCACGATGAAAGATAGAAGTCATGAGCATTTAACAGAATTTCAGGAATCATGGTGCTGGCTTAATAGAGGAATGTAACTGATAGCATACAAAATGGGAGAATTATATTCTGTTACAGTTTTCCTATAGTTAGTATTTGTTCATTACAGCAATGTAAATTTAGTGTCTATAGTATCCATACACCCAGGATGAAATACAGAAGTCTTTCTATCTTGACACAGAAATATAGGAAATAGTAAGCACTGTGTAACCTCCTGGAAGGTGAATGCCCATCTGGTCCCACACCCATCTCTGTAACAAATGGCCACTGAGGCATTGACTAGGCCAAAGGAATGTCCTTGCTCTACATTGAAAAGCTCGAGTCAAAAGGTAGCAAGTTTGTTATCAGTGGCAGGCTCTCATAGATAAAGCACAGAAGGCTCCTATGGTTCAAAAAATCTTCCATGACTTCTTGTGTGACCTTGGCCAAGTCATTTAATTTTTACTTGCCTCTGTTACCTTTAATACAGTTACAGTAGACCGCATATTCTCTTCAAGCCTAGCACTCTGTTACCATTATTTTTACTGAGAAAAGATAGAGGTATCAGTAAGATGGTGCTTCTCTACCTCTTGCAGAAGAACATCAAAGAATAAAAATTCTAATTAAATGATTTGTCTAATATTTTATAGACTACAATTATTATTGTGAAGACAGTACCCCACCTTTTTTCTGTCTTTTAGGAATATGAAATAGAGTAAATCTAATCTCTTTTTTACTTCTTTTGTCAAGCCTTATATTTTGTGACTGTGTATTCAGCAGACAGTTCTTACTTTGCTGTTCTAAGACTATCACCTATGTTTTCATTAATTGAAATGGATAATTGAAGCAGTAATACTGTCAGTCTCAGATTCAGCAGGGCAGTCTCGGAAATAATGCGACAGTTGCTGGCTTTGCATTAGGATTGACCACAAGCCTCCACTTGTAGTATAATCGTTGAAAAAATATTTTAATATTGCCAGGAGTAGGACTGCCGTGGAGCTCAGCCTTAACCTTGGTGAAGTGTTTACCTATGGATGTGTTAAACGCATCTCAGTAGGGTAGCTGTGCACTGAGAGAAGATGGACATGAAGTCAGATTCCATACTGCAGAATAAAGACTAGTTGCGCATCCCTGAAATGAGGAAACCTTGTAACGCTGTCACCGATGGCCTGTCTTTCCCCATCATGTTACTCCTCCAGAGATTCTAATTTTGACAAGAAAGAAAAAACTCTGGGTTAAGCACTGCATTTCCTTAGCTGTGCAATGATGTGTGTAACACCATGTTACCCATTTTAAAATAGCTGAAGTAAATTACTTGTTTCTGGTCATTTAAATTGCAGCTTTTGCTACTTTGTTGCTTCTGAGAATCATCTTTGTGGTACACATTCAAAGTCATCAAATATTACACAAACATGCTACCCAATCTAGCTGTCTTTTAAGGGCTAGCTTCTGTACCAAATGCTTGTTCTACTAAACTGCGGACTTTTCTGACTGATGGTGGGAGCTGTAGCTACTGCTCACACAAAAGATACTGTCCAGCCATATCAGCACAGCTACAAACAGCAGAGGTGCCCAAGCTGCAGTTCCTGGACTAAAAAAAGAATGTCCCTCAGCTCTGGACTTTGCACCCTTCCCAAACCTCCTCAGTTCATAACAGCCACTAAAACTACTGACTTGGGAACCATATCACTTGGATCATTTATTTTCCTGCCTGTGACGAAATGGAGAAGTTCTTAAAGGTCCCAAGTGTGTTTTTATGCTCATACGTTGTCTGTTGTTAGTGCAAGAGTGCTGATCACTTGCTGCAAGGTGGTGGGAGTTACAAGAAAGGCCTCCTTTACAGTTGTGTATGTCAGATTTGTCCAGAAGTGCCCCAGGGCAAGAGATAATTGCTTTGTTTTATAGGTGTATCAGCAACTGTAAATAAATGGGCAGCTTTGCTGAAGGAAGGTAAGAAAATCAAACTGGAGAATACAGAGGGTTATTAAGAAACAAGTGAAGAGCAGAGGTCATATCTCTTGAGCTACTATACATATTCTTTGTGTATGTGATAATGCTCCAACGATAGCACCATGTTTGCAATTTGACTTAAATACTGGCTGCTTTCATGGTTGGATGGCTATTATTCCACAGGAGGGTGGAAATAATATATTAATCAAAAAACTTGTAGCACACATACTGGACATTAATGCTCATTTATAGATACTGAGCAGCAACTGAGAGCTTTGTTGGGAAAGTAC